ATATCCGTTACAAATGCGGATAATCTTACGTTAATATTTACTATTAACAAATAAATTTGGTCCAAAACCGAATCTGAAGCCGAAGCCGAGGCCGAGCAGAGCAAGCGACGACGACGGCGCGAGGCTTGCTTTCTTCTCAACTCTTTAAGAGCTACAAGAAGAGCAATTATATATATACCCACCAAAAATCTTTTCCTCTTCCAATATGGGACAATGTCTCATTGTCAAGAGGGGAAAACTTAAAATTTTACTCAAAAATTTCATTTTTCCCTCCATTTCCCATTCACCCTCATTTTAAGACTATTTCATCTTAAATAACAAAAATCTCAACAGGTCTGATAACAAACAAATCCACTCAGATATCTCACATATCATGTAGCTGAAATAGTTCTAACGACAAAAGGGGAGTTGCCACCTAATTCACAGCAGAAGTAATCAGAACTCATCTACTCTTCGAAAATTACACAATTATGAAACAATTCACATTCCACCCTCCAAGTTCAAGCAATTTATAAGAGTGGTCAATGGTCCGACACTACTAACCTTATGTGATAATTTGACAAATTCATATTACATAAGACCAAAAAGCTCAAAACCACAAGGCTAAGCAAAACAATACTGAGAGTTAAAACTAACTCGTGAAAAAACATACTTACATATGGGAATAGATACTCGCGGGGTCTAACTCTTAAAGAAAGAGAATTTTCAAAATGAAAAGTGACTTGAGGGAATCCATCATTAACACTGCAATAGTTAGAGGCAAAAGTTATTGCATTTGGACATCTTTTTACCTGGAGAACTAAAAATAGTTGTAAAATACAAGAATCATAAGAGAAACATCTCAAGAAAAATAGTTTCCATAAAAAGGGAATAAAAGAGGCAAGGAATTGTGACGCTTACAAAGTTCATTCCTCCACGTGGACCTCCACCGGAAACAAATCCCCCGTATAAGATAATCTTTCTCATTCTGTTTTTTCTTTTGATAAGTTTACTAGCAAATTTTTTAAGGCAACTAGTTAAATACCCGCACCATAAGTTAAGCGTCTTCATATTCAAGTGGACCAATATATCAGAAAGTAAATTTCCATAGCTGTTTTACTTCACATAGTTGCCAAACTAATCAGTTCACTAATTCTGACTAGTAGTGGTAGTCTGTAATAAAACCAACATTCAAAAAGTTTGGTTTTGTAGGAATACTTTCCAAGCAAAAGACTATGTTGGGCTAGGTTCAAAACCAAGGCATGGATGCAAAATTAGTGAAATATGTGTTGCTAAAACCATGATCTTTACAACTGGAACAAGACAGAATAAACAGAGAGCACAACTGCTTTACATGCTCTAAGATCTTTATCCCGCATAATGATCATCATCATACCAAACACCACCATTGAAATAACTTTATTGCAAAGCCAAATTGACAGTTATTCTAGTAACTTGATTGCTAGTCTTTTATAGGTTCCAAGTCAGTATAATAAAGGACTTCTGATTCTTTTGACATATATTACATTGCTAATCTTGAATTATCATGCACATTATGCTAGGCGTCACATGAATCAGTGCAAATTGCTCGACCTCATTTTATTTCCACTAGTTTGATACAAGAGTGGGTTGCTCTAGTGGTGAGCACCCTCCATTTTCAACTAAAAGGTTGTGAGTTCGAGTCACCCCAAGAGCAAGGTGGGGAGTTCTTGGAGGGAGGGAGCCGAGGGTCTATCGGAAACAGCCTCTCTACCCCAGGGTAGGGGTAAGGTTTGCGTACACACTACCCTCCCCAGACCCCACTAGTGGGATTATACTGGGTTGTTGTTGTTGTTGTTGTTGTTGTTGTTGTTTGATACAAGAATTTGAATCAATGCATTTATCAATTTTCAGTTCATCTTGAGATAGAATTAGCCATCGTATTCCACCTCTTGCGAACAACATCTTGGGAATTAGAGTATAACTGATAGCATGACGGCACTTTAGAATCCAATTGCCACTGCTTCAGAATAAACACGCTTGAAGCACAAAGCAGCAGCTAAGTTATCCTTCTTAAGGATGTTGATTGAGAAATTGAAAGAGTAACATGATGAAATAAAGAAGAAACCACAAGTTAGAAAGACAACGTAACGTCATGCACTTACAGAATGCGTAAAGAGATGAGTGCTCAGTATGCTCCATACCTTCCAGAGTATTCAAAGCATGTATACTCATCACGAATTGTACGCAATTTCAGATCAGGTTGCCAGGAGAATATCTGGCAGAAGTGAAGAAATACAAACATGTCAATTATTTTAGGTACAAACATTTATATCTATTTCTGATTCAATTAAGTGGCCTCCAAAAAGACTAAACGAACTATAGTAGCAAACTACCTTTTTCACTAGTGGGCCATAAATCACCTCAGGAAGATAAGCCAATGTTGTTCCACTATCAATTATTACTCCATTGTCCTCTCCATTCATACGTACATCAACAGACAGGTTTAGAAACTGATAACCAACTTCAACTGCCTTCATATTGACATTGTAATGTGGCCTAAGAATAAAGACAATTTAAAGTATTTAAATCATTACAATTTTCTCAACCACAAGCTAATCAAAAGCTTCATATTCTAGTGGAAAATTTACATACTGATTAGGTACCAAAGGAGTCATGTTTACTTTTGGTTGCACAACATCCCCAATGGCAAAAATACCACCACCATTCACACCATCTAAGCAGTGTGCAAACTTTTTCGTCACTCTTCCAGATGAAGCCAGCTGGGAAAGCATGGATGAATTTGATTTCCCAAATCCAAGAACCCCATCAAGAGCTTCATCAGAGGAATTCAGATCCCCAGATTGTGAAGCACCACACCTCCGAGAATACAAGGGAAAACATCAATAAACTTATCCAAGAAAGAAAAGAGAAAGAATAACAACAAACGGAATAAAAGATAATGGTGTCACCAGAGCTTGGCTCAACTAACGCATAATTATTGGAACCAAATGAGAAACAAACAAATGTAGTTGGCTCAGTGGCAGTCGCAAATCATTGACCATGAACAAGAGCCCAAATGGAAGCTTTTATTTGTTTGGGGCCTTTAGATTTAAAATAAATAATTTTGGCGAAAGGCTACAAGATTCAAAGATTGAAGAAAAGTAACAAATTTTATTGCAAGGAGAAAAAACACAAAATATCTAACAGTCTGGGTCTTGAAACCTGGCAATGGAGGAAAGGCAGCTTATAGAAGCTGTGACCATTCTAGATATCTTTTATCCTTATGTTAGTTCAAAGAAGAAATGGACTAGTTGATTTACTTACCCAATGAAGTTAATCCCTTGCCAGACACATATATAGAATAATGAAAACAATCCTTGTCACCTTGTTTATCAGTACAACTAGAAGATAGGCAAATACAATTTTACCTAATCCATTAATTCTTCCCTTCCAATTATAGAGGGATTGGGTAATGAAGTCGGATGATATTATAAAGAAAATGTGGAAGGGTCAGGATCCAACTTTACATTGCCTTCGTACCTTTCTAGCAGACCAAACAAAGGAAATTGACTTTTACTCCCTTTTACTTCTGCTCCCCTTACATAACTACCTACCATCTCAGACCCCAACTAATTAAAAGTTTTAGATTTCTGAAATAATGAAAATGCTCTTGGAAACTTCAGCTTCATCAGATAGACAAAAGGAGGAAGCAAAACCAATTCCAGATGAAACGGTTTCATTGGATTTTGATAAATTAATATACAGCAAGGTCATAAATTTGCAAGTGCTGTAATGATGGAAGAAGTGCACTCTCAAGGATTTTTTCGAGCATGAGAATCATGTAAGATCACCTAGTTAAATTAAATGTTTAACAAGTCAAATGCTGGATTGAGGATTATAAGAGCTACAGAAATATTCTTGCGCTCGCATGTTAGATAACATACATCTTACCCAAAAATAACACTCCCATTTGATGATTTAGTTTGGAGATCACCTGACACCTGATCATATTGGACAACATCCTCCACAAAGTAGCCCCTACTATAGCTTCCATCTCCATAAACTTGACCATAAGTACAAGAAGTATTACCATAGCAGCCTGATACTGAACCTCTGTCGATGTCTTTGCAAAATGAGTGACCACAAACAATGAGTTTACCAGTGAGAGAATCCCTTGGATTGTAGAGTGTTAGCTCCAGCTGCCCAAAAACAATTCAGATAAAAAAGGACAGAATAGAGCATCAACGAAGAATTGTTTTACTTTCAAGAGCAATTCATATACTGAGAATAAATGTATAGACACAAAATAAAAACATAAACATACATATACACATATGTCAGTGTGTATTTAAAAGAAACATACACCATGATAGCCTCTTCTGGGGCATTCTTGACACGTAATGCAGTTAACCCACATAATGTCACTTCCTGTATCCACTTGGACATAATAATTAGTTGGAGGTGTTCCAATCCCAATCTTAGCATAATAAAGCCTATAATAACAAAAGATCCAGGAAATGATTTCAATAGCAGCACAAACTGACTCCATACGGTAACAAACTGTCATTTTAACATATATAAAATTGATTGTTTGTAAGCCACATAAAGTTGCGTGAAGAGAGATTTTCATCAATTTATCCAAATAATGAAACAAACTAACTGACAATGTAATGAGCTTAAATTTATCATTCAAACATGGAATTTAGAATATTCTCCAATTAGCCGAGATCTAAGCATCTTCTGGAAATTATTAAGTCAGCACATGATAGGCTTTGCCAAAAGCTGACATTGAGAACATAGCCAATTGATAATTCACGCAAACTCTTTTACTACAACAAAACTTTGATAAACAGTATTCTATCTTGGATGATGCACAAATAGAATAAGCAGACCTACCGACATACATATATATATATATATATATATATAAACACACAGGGACGCATATAAGAAAACGGATGATATGTATACACAGGCGGATTCAGGATTTGAAATTTATCGATTCAAGTTCAAAATTCTACCACAGATCATTTGATTTACTCGGTTCGAAATCTATTATTTGAACTAATTTAGTGGATTTTTTTAACTTGTATACTACATCTGCCCCTGTCTGTAAATAGCTGCTTATAGTGACAAGGTGAGATACAGATATTAAATCACTCAACAGCTCTACTATATGTTTTACAGCTCTTTTCCAACAATACAGAAAGCATCGTTTCAAACACTGCAAAATAAGAGAAGTACAACTACAGCACAATGTACCACACCATGTACACAAAATACATATATTTATACTCGTGCTTCAACTGCTTTATATATGTGAGATTAAGTTATATACACCGTCAGCGAAACCCCTTAAAATTTGGGATTTTTAACTTCGAAAAAATGGCAGGTTAATTGCTAACTGCTTTATATACCTAAGATTAAGTTATATACACCATCACTGAAGCTTCCTTAAAGTTTGGGATTTATAATTTTGAAAATAAGGCAGGTTAACTGCTACAACAGGTAAAGCAGTGTTATCAAATGCGAAAAGCGCAAAAAAGCTCTAAGGTCTGTTGGGGCTTTAAGCGCAAATAAAGCATGGGCTTTAATAAAGAAAGGCGCATATGGAGAAAAACTACAAATATGTATCTGTAGTCCAAGGCTAATATCTATAATCATGAATACCAAATATATGGACAAAGAAATTGAAGAAAATTTACGATAAAGTGAAATATCAAACTGTTTAGTGTCGCATCTTCCGGAATACGCTCGTTTTTAGGAAAAGTATGTCTTAGAGCCTTGATGACAACACTGAAGTACCCATTAAGCGAGGTGAAGCGCTCAACATGTTTTGTTTAAGCGCGCCTTTGATAACACCGAGGTAAAGGTGATATGATAGTAAGAATTCGCAGTATGTATAACTTAAACTCTATATACATATGCATATATAGTCAGAATTACACGCATATACCCAATTTAATAATAAACCGGAGTAAAAAGGAAAAGCAGACCCGACGGAATCAGGACGGCCAATGCCGCCGATAGGAAGGTCAATGCCGGCGAGGATTCTGAGGTGGCGCATTTCATCATGAGCTTTTAGGGCACGTAAATTCCTTTCCGACCCGGAAAATTTATAATTCACTTTGATCACTCCTTCAATTCCGCCATTTACACTCCAAACAAGTATAAGCACGAACAACGTAACGTATCTCCAATCGAATTTTCCCATTCTGGTTACTTCTCAAATACTGGAATTTTACTACTATCTGAGACTGGCTATTTTTTAAATTAAGGGTGAAAACGATGATTAGAAAATTAAACAGAAATGGAAGAGAGAAAGGGAAGAGACGCGGTGCATGTAATGTTGTGTTCTTATAGTAGTTGCTCACTGATTTAATTAATTCTCTGTTTGGAATGGAGGGAAAAGGGAAATGAAGGATAATTAAGGGGATGATATTTTTTTTTTTTTTTTTTTTTTTTTTTTTTTTTTTTTTGGGTTCTATTTTGTTCAGAAATTAGGGAAGGGAAAATGTAAAAAGACGTTAGATATTATTTTTCTGGTTTCTTTTGTTGTTGTAGATCTATTCTTTGTTCTCTTCTGATATTATTGCTTCGTTTGTTGAGTGTTGTCGTTAAAAATAAAAAAAGAGATAATACTTTTTTTTTCTTTCTTTCCCTTTAGTTGTCTTGTATTATAGTTATACGTCCAATTTATGTAGTCATATTTTGAGTGTCAAACTTTTAATTTTAATTAAATTTAAAAATAAAATCTTTTGGAATAAATTTAGATATTTGAAAATTGCGTAAATATTACTATGTACCAGAATAATTATTAACAATTTAAAATATGGAAAAGATATAAAAAATTACTATAAAAAAAGTTTATTTGATTCTCGAAATTGATAAATTAGGATGGAAGAATCACTAAGGAAAAACTAGAAAAAACTTGGAAAGTAATTGAATGACTATTCTCTCTTTTCTTTGTATCACCGATTATAAGTTAGTATAAAATTAGCAAAAACTCACTTTTTGACCTATATAATTAAATTATATAGTATAAAATTCACTTGTAGAATTTGAAACGTCATAACAATGTCTATTTTCATAGACAAGGCCAAAAAGTGGCAAGTGAGCACAATTTTAACGATAAATTACAAAACTTTTTTGGGTTGAAGATAGCGTAAATCAATTAACTATTGACAATTGTAATATGAGGATTAATATAGAGGAGAAGACTTTTCCCTTTAACGATAAGATCTAAGCTTACTTCTTGAAATTGTCGTAGTAAGAATTGTCACAAATTGAAACTTTGTGAATAAATACGATAAGGAATATCTAATGAAATTTATAAGAAATCTTGTAAATTAGCTAATAAGGAAAAGTTCTATTCAAGAATGAGTGAGGTTTGGTTAGCAAGAAAAGTGAGTTTGTTGAAAATGGATAAGAGAACTTTTTTTATTGGTTCTTGTTTTTATTTTATTTTTATTTTCTTATTTTTTGTTTTTTTTCTATTTAAAGGTCAATCAAAGTACAAAGATAAGAATATTAACTGACTATTTCTAGACTAAGAAAATAATTAGACTATTATTAAATGCCACTGAGGAAAAATGCAAAAGTAACTAACTTGTTTATGAAAACCTAAATTAAAAGAAATTATATTTTTGTAAATTTTCTTTTTCTTTTGCCCAAAACTTGTACTATCTAAAATGTGACTCTACTTATGTAGTTCTCAATTCTCACAAGTAAAATTTACTAAGTGTAATAAAAATCAACCTTGGAGTTCAACTTGTGATATAAGATTATTTGGTATTTGCTTTTAACTTGTGATAGTAGATTATTTATCGTTTTTATACGGTTAACTTATCATTGAATTCATCTATAATTACCTTATATATATATATTATAAATTTTTACATAGTTTGTAGCGCATAGAGCTTAAATTCAACGGAAAAGGTCCAAATACCCCCTGAACTTTACGATAAGGTCTACAAATAACCCTCGTTAAAAGTTTGGCCCATTACCCACCTTGCCGTTACACTCTAGGCTCGGATACCCCCTTAATTCTAAATGGCTGCCATAGTGGATAAGTTATCCACTCATAATTTGACATGAAGAATTTTAATTTACACCCAAATATTTTAATTCATCTCCAATCGGATCTAATTAACCTACCCATTACCTGTGACCTGACCCGTAAATTGAAAATACCTTTCTTAAAAATACCCGAATTTTTACTTCACTTATCAAATTTGGTTAGATTTGGTACCTAATCGAACAAATTTGGTTGGTGGTCTGAAATCTCGAGTTTGATGGTGGCCTGAAATCAAACTTTACATAGTTTGTAGCGCATAGAGCTTAAATTCAACGGAAAAGGTCCAAATATCCCTTGAAATGAGGCCACCATCAAACTCGAGATTTCAGGCCACCAACCAAATTTGTTCGATTAGGTACCAAATCTAACCAAATTTGATAAGTGAAGTAAAAATTTGGGTGTTTTTAAGAAAGGGGTTTCCAATTGACGGGTCGGGTCACGGGTAATGGGTAGGTTAATTAGATTCGATTGGAGGTGAATTAAAATATTTAGGTGTAAATTAAAATTCTACATGTCAAATTATGAGTGGGTAACTTATCCACTATGGCAGCCATTTAGAATTAAGGGGGTATCCGAGCCTAGAGTGTAACGACAAGGTGGATAATGAGCCAAACTTTTAACGAGGGTTATTTGTAGACCTTATCGTAAAGTTCAGGGGGTATTTGGACCTTTTCCGTAAATTCAATAAAATATTGAGGTCACAAATTTCATAAGCATGAGCCCCCCTGATTATTCACAAAAATGAACGCGAGAAAAACAAAACCTAAGATGAACGGGGCTAAGCGATATGCCGAAGCCGTGGGATGTAAAAATACATCGGTAGGGGAGGGGGCTCTTGGGGAGTGAGCATAAAGCCAATGCCAAAACTATGATTTTAGGGAGAATTGCGAAATCAGAATTTAAAATTTTTGGGTTCTTAATTTATTATCGAACTTATAGCTCTTTCGTAGTTAAATATTTATATATATTTCATAAAATCTTAATAAAAATATACTCACTCCGTTTCATATTAGATGAGGTACTTTCCTTTTTAGTCTGTTCCAAAACAAATGACACATTTCTAAATTTGGAAATAATTCAACTTTAAACTCTTTCATTTTACCCATTTGCCCTTAATGAGAAGCTTTTATAGCCACACAAATGTAATGACCCCACAAACTTTTTACCCCTTAAGTTTTTAAGACCACAAGTTTCAAAAGTCTTTCTTCTTTTTTCTTAAACTCCATGTCAAGTAAAACTACCTCATCTAATATGAAACGGATGAAGTAATATTTAAGCAAAAGTTATTCAATTCGTCCGGACCCATACGAAATATTTCAAATATAGTAACTCCGTCCTTGGTCTTAGGAACCAATGCCAAAACAATGGTCTTAGGAGCCAATGACCATGGTCTTAGAGTAGTGAAATACTATGACTATAGGGGACGCGTACTGTGGACCGCACTTTCCACCATATGGTCCGAGCCGAGCGACTCCTGACTTCACTGCACTCTTTATTTACTCATTTCCTATTACTCTTCATTGGTGGTCAATATGTCAAAAATTTGAAGGACAAATCTTCCTTTCTTTTTTTATCTTAAAAAATAAATAAATTCGTACTCTGTCAGACTTCGCTAGTTAAAGTGAAAGTACGTGTGGAGAACTCTACTTGTATACTATCTAATTTTTAATTCAGCTTTAAATATACGCTGTTATTGTAAATTATTTTTTACACTATTAGGTCGTTCAAAGGAATTTATAGGTAAACTTCCTTAAATATGAGATTTATAATCACGAGAGTATGACAAATTATCTGATATAATAGGTAAATGTGATATAATCTTGATGGTGTAAAATTATTGTACTGATTAATATAAGTTTCAAGCGTGGACGATGAGAGTCCCAACATATCATATGATTGTGGACGATGAGAGTCCCAACATATCATATGATTCTCGTCCTTGAATTAAATTCACACTTTTCCAAACCCAAATATATAGGATTCTAGGATTCCTCCCGGAGGCAAATGCTTTTATGCATACCTATTCTGATTAACGCACACTATCGTCTATTCTCAGAAGATGATACGCACTAGCTAACCACCCCTTAGCCCGGTGCTCATGATGTGCTACGGAACCTCCACCGTACCGGGGGAGGGGGACCAAGTAGGGCATAGCTAGCGACATAGGAGTCGATTCGGCATCAGCGGCTTCGTGCCGCACTAGAGTAATCCAATATATGGTTCCGCACGTTCCACCATTTCTCCATTCATTTCCAATACTGATCATGAAACACCATGAGCAACAGGATATTGAGGTGCGAAATTCGAAGTGAAATTTTTTATTCGGATGTTCTTAGTCGTCATGGGAAAGAAATACAAAAATAAGAAATAGATTATTCCCTTAGAACTTGTCCAATACCACTAGTACCAAAAGTGCATATTCTCCGCCCGCGCGAGAGACTTCTAGGCGCTACATCATTAAACACATTCAGAACGGAGGTAGTTATCCCAATGTACGCAAACTTGAACTCATTCCAAAATCTGGAAAAGTTGCAAAATAAGTCCTCTGCAACGATTTTTAGTTGCCAACACAGTTTGTCTCTACCCTACAAATCCAGACTAATACATATCCCATGAAACTCTTTATTCAATGCCGCACCCCCCCCAATTCTCCTCTTATCATATATAGTCCTAAGCAGTGGCGGAGGCAGGATCTCCACGAAGGGGGTTCAAAATTTTTTTTTTGTAGCTAGTGGGAATTAAACTCATGACCTTATGTAGATTTTGAATCTCCTTGACCACTAAACTTTGAATTGTGTAAAGGGTGTTCAAAACTTAATATATAGAGATAAAAAATAAATTTTACCTTATATATACAGAGCAATTTTTCGGCGAAGGGTGTTCGGGTGAACACCTTTGCCCCCTAAATCCGCCCCTGGTCCTAAGTCCTAACATTCTTCTCAGTTTCCACTGTCCCACCACCCACTATACACTTTTAGCATGAGTTTAGTTTGGCGCATGGAACATGGGAGTGTTCCATCTATAACAATAAAGACTGTCATTTCAGAGTGCAGTCAAAATGTTACTAGGTTAACGTGGATTCAGGTGCGGCTCGACATAATTGGGGGCTAAAGGCCTAAATTTTTTATAATCGATTACGTTAGTAATTATTTTTCAATTAATATTATATCTAACTGCTTTAATCACTCTTGAGACAATGTTGGTCGTATGTAATGTTTATTTTGAAAAACTTCTTCCATTGAGGAAATTGTTAGGCATTCGAAAAAGAATCAAGTCTTTTTATGTAATTAAGTATATCGATTAGAGTATTATCTTCTACTTGTACTACTTTCCTTAATATTTTTAGTTCGAATTATAAGTCTAACCCATCAATATTAGAGT